TCCGGTCAAGTTCTTTTATAGCATAGGGTACTAACACATTATCTAAGCCCACGCAAATTTCTTTTTAACATTTTTTAAAAATTTATTTATTGGGGCAGCTAGGTGGTGCAGTAGATAGAGCACCGGCTCTGGATTCAGGAGGACCTGAGTTCAAATCCTGCCTCAGACACATAACACTTACCAGCTGTGATACCCTGGGCAAATCACTTAACCCCATTGCCTAGCCCCCCCCAAAATTTTTATTTATTGATTGCTGCTTTATAATACAATTTAAGATCTGGTATGGCTAGACCACCTTCCCTAGCATTTCTTTTCATTAATTCCCTTGATATTCTGAACCTTTTGTTCTTCCAGATAAATCTTGTTATTATTTTTTCTAGCTCTGTAAAATAATTTTTTGGTAGTTTGAGTGGTATATCACTGAATAAGTAAATTAATTTAGGTAGAATTATCATTTTTATTATATTAGCTTGGCCTACCCATGAGCAACTGATGTTTTTCCAGTTATTTAGATCTGACTTTATTTGTGTGAAAAGCATTTTGTAATTGTGTTCATATAGTTTCTGGGTTTGTTTCAGCAGGTAGACTCCTAAATTAAATTTTCTTAAAATCATTTATTTATTTATTTATTTTTAGTTTTCAATATTCACTTCCATAAGCTTTTGAGTTTTAAATTTTCTCCCCTTCCCTCTCCTACCCTCCCAAGACGGTGTGCAATCTGTTATAGGCTCTACATATACATTCATATTAAACATATTTTCACATTAGGCATGTTGTAAAGAAGTATTAGAAGAACCAATGGGAGGAACCATGAGAAAGAATAAACAAAACAAAACAACAAAACAAAAAAAGAAATCAAATTGTATGCTTTGATTTGTTTGTTTTTTGGTTTTTTTTTTTGATGAGGCAATCAGGGTTAAATGACTTGCCTAGGGTCATGCAACTAGTAAGTATCATGTGTCTAAGGCCAAATTTGAACTCAAGTCCTCCTGATTCTAGGGCCGGTGCTGTATTCACTGCACCATCTAGCTGCCCCTAGTATGCTTTGATCTGTATTCAGACTCCATAGTTCTTTCTCTGGATGTGGATAGCATTTTCCATCGTAAGTCTTTTGGAGATTTCTTAGATTCTTGCATTGCTGAGAAGAACCAAGTCTATGAAAGTTAGTCATCACACAGTGTGGCTGTTACTGTATACAGTGTTCTTCTGGTTTTGCTCATTTCACTCATCATCAGTTCATGTAAGTCTTTCCAGGTTTTTCTGAACTCTTCCTGTTCATCATTTCTTATGGCACAATAGTATTCCATTACATTTATAAACCACAACTTGTTCAGCCATTCCCCAATTGATGGGCATCCCCTCAATTTCCTATTCTTGGCCACCACAAGAAGAGCTGCTATAAATCTTTTTGTATATGTGAGTCCTTTTCCCATTGTTATGATCCCTTTGGGATATGATCCTAGAAGTGGTGTTGCTGGGTCAAAGGCTATGCACCATTTTATAGCCTTTTGGGCGTAGTTCCAAATTGCTCTGAAGAATCTCAGCTCCACCAACAATGCGTTAGTGTTCCAATTTTCTCACACCTTCTCCAACATTTATCATTTTCCTGTTTTGTCACGTTAGCCTATCTGATACGTATGATGTGGTACCTCAGAGTTGTTTTGATTTGCATTTCTCTAATCAGTAATGATTTGGAGCATTTTTTCATATAACTCTATATAGCTTTAATTTCTTCAGCTGAAAACTGTCTGTTCATATCTTTTGACCATTTATCAATTGGGGAATAACTTGTATTCTTATAAATTTGACTCAATTCTCTTTATATTTTAAAAATGAGGTGTTTATCAGAGACACTGGTTGCAAAAATTGTTTTCCAGCTTTCTGCTTCCCTTCTAATCTTGGTTGCATTGGCTTTGTTTGTGCAAAAACTTTTCAATTTAATGTAATCAAAATTATCCATTTTGCATTTCATAATGTTCTCTATCTCTTGGTCATAAATTATTCCCTTCTCCATAGATATGACAGGTAAACTATTCCTTGCTCTCCTAGTTTGCTTATAGTATCAGCCTTTATATCTAAATCATGTACCCATTTTGACTTTGTTGTGGTTTAAGATGTTGGTCTATGCCTAGTTTCTGCCATACTGTTTTCTAGTTTTCCCAACAGTTTTTGTTAAATAGTGAGTTCTTATCCCAGAAACTGGAGTCTTTGGATTTATCAAACAGTAGCTTACTACAGTCATTGACTATTGTGTCTTGCATGCCTAACCTATTCCACTGATCTACCACTCTATTTCTTAGCCAGTACCAAGTAGTTTTGATGATTGCTGCTTTCTAATACAATTTAAGATCTGGTATAGCTAGGCCCATGTACATTTCTGCCGTTTGGACGGGATGTAAAGGGATCTAAAGCTGAGTTCTGTTGCGAGCTGGTCGGTTAGCTTATGCAGCCCTGCTGCTGCTGGGAGTGCAGTGCACAGTGGGGAGGGGCCGTGGCAGAGAGGTGGTTAGAGGTTCTGCTCTCTTGTTAGTTCCTTGTGTTTTACCTTCTTTGGTTTCTTGGTATCCTAGACCATGGAGATAGCTGAAATTGTTTTATTTCTTGCACATAATTCCTTTTTAGAGAGTTTGAAGAATTCATGCATATGGAAAAAAAAATCTGATTCTCCATCTCATTGGTCATGTGCCCCAGACATACTGCTTGAGTCACTTTAAAACACCCCTTTTGCTTTTTGGTTCTTTGGGATCTTGCATTCTAAGTTTCTTTTTGTAGGACATACATTCACTTCATGATCCCTTACCAAAGCTCAATGGTGTTTAAAAGTTAATTGTATTGAGTTTATTAATGTATTTTTTTTAAAAAGGAAAAAACTTAAAACGTCATGGCTCAGAAATGGGATCTACCAGGGCACTGAGAAATTTTTCCCCATCTTTTCTTCTGCTATGGTTTCCATAGTGATTATACTTACTTTAAGAGCCCTTTTTTCTCATTATGGTACATGTCCAGACAGCATATGTCTCATTTAAGAAGGAGAATTTTTGGCATCAATTCTATACCAGCTTCCTTCTCTCTAGGTGACACTGAAGATAGGAAAGGTTAAGAAAATAAAGTTGTTTTTTAAATGACACCTCATTGCTGTGAATTTATTATTGTGGGAGTGACCAAATGGGTGAGTGCAAATGCCCTCATCAGAACTTTCTGTTTTGATTTTCTTGCACGTGATCAACCAAGCTCTAAAATATTCAGTAAGCTATTCAATACCATAAAGGCTGTTCATCTTGTCTATGTCTGCACTGTTGAAGTCACATTTCTTCTTCAAATACACAACAAAGCAGTTGTGGTATCTGTTTGAGGTGAGAATGATATTAGATTTTTCTCTCCCATATCTGCATTTCAGTGTTGCTAGGCTGCTCTGGCTTTTTTTCAGTCTATCCAGTTGGCCTTCAAGCGTTGGGGTTTCCTTAGTCCCAACTTTTTTAGCTCTGTGCCAGCCTTCCACATTTTTACTGCCTGTACTATGCCAAGTTAGGTCAAACAGCTTTCTGAACATGATGTAGGGCATGTTCATTTGTCTTAAGTTGGGATGCTCTGCCCTCTTTTTTCCTTGACAGGAGAGACAGGAAAGCAAAGTTGTGGTTGACATACCACCCCCTCCAGGCAGCTTCTTTATTTTTTGTATCCATGAAAAAATTACAAATTAAAATTTAGAGACACAAGTGGTTGTTAGTAGTTTGCAGTATTTCTTTTAGGTACTGTCCAATACTCTGACAATTTACCTACTGGGGAATGGCTTTATATAGTGTAGTTTAGTTAGTTGTCTGTATATCTTGAATACCAGACCTTTATCTAGGAAATCAGAAAGAAATTTTTTTTCCTATCTGATTGCTTCCTTTCTTATCCTTGATGCATCAATTTTATTTGTGCAGAAAGATTTTTTTTTCAGTTTCCATTTTTTCCATTTTATCCATTTTATTTTTTATAATTTTGTCTATTCCTTGTTTGGTTGAGAATATATCTCCTATCAGTAGCTATGAAAAATATATGATCATCAGATAATATATTATCTTCTCATTTTTTATGGTGTGGTCTTCAATATTAAGGTCATATATCCATTTTGAATTTATTGTGAAATATGGTTTAAGAAGTTGTTTTAAATTAGTGTCTGCCGTATTGCTTTCTGGTTTTCCCCAGCAGTTTTTGTCAAAAAGAAAGTTCTTTCCTAAGTAATTTATTTGTTTTTCAGTTTATTAAACACAAAGTCATTGAGTTCTATTGTTTCAGATTCTCCCTTGTCTAGTCATTTCCACTTATCTACCTTTGTATTTGTTTAACCAATACCAAATGGTTTGTGTGACTGCTGCTTTATTATGTACTTTGAATTCTGGAAGTGCTATGTCCCCTTCATCCCTACATTTTTCATTATTTCCCATGATATTATAGATCTTTTGTTTTTTCCAACTGAATTTTATTATTATTTTATTGAGTCCTGTAAAGTATCACATTCATAGTATGACTGGTATAGCATTAAAATGGTAAATTGACTTTGGTAATACTGTCATTTTTATTATATTGGCACAGCACTATCATGAGTACTGATATTCCTTTAGCTTTTAAGGTGTCCTTTTTCTTTAAAGGAACACTTTATTATTGGATATATACAAATATTTTTGTGTCCTTCAGTAGGTAAGTGTTTTATACATTTTGTAGTTATTTGGAATAATATTTGCCTTTCTATTATTGCCTTTTGGATTTTATTATTATATAAAACTACAATTTGTTTTTGAGGATTTATTTTGTAGCCTACACTTTGTTCAAGCTAGTGATTGTCATGTACCAGAGAAACAGGACAACTCATTAATGAAAAGTTTAGCCACATTCCACTATTATTATCAATATCTCTAGACAGAAACACTAGTTTTGTGCGCTTTAGAGAGTCCCAAGGAAAATTAAGTTTTGTGACCCACCCTAGCAATGACTCATACTGTTTTTCTTGTTTTCAGAATTTTCCCCAGAGAATACCTCCTTCAACAGATCCATCTGTACTCTCTTGCAGACCTACAGCAGGTAGGGGGCTCTTTCCTTTCTATCATCTCCGTCAAAAAGTCTCCCCTTTGCTAATTATGCAAGTTTTTATTGTGTCTCATCAAATTCTATGGATTTTTATTTGAGCAAAAAATAAAATTTTTAGTGTAAAATAAAAAACAAAGACCTGCAGGGTATGAAAATGTTACACCATTTGATACTTACTCAATCCCCTATTTTTAATATTTGAAAAGTTGAAAAAATATACCTCATGTTTAAGGTAAAATCTGTTTTTTTGCTGGCTCATGAAAGATTTAACTGGTCATCAGCCAGGAAAGAAAACAAAAACAAAGGTCTTCTCTGGGCTACTTATTCAAAAGTCCTAGATGCAATAGGTTTTGTGTAATCATTTAGGTCAGCTACCACTAGACTCCTGAGGTGATGCACAGCTCTCATTACTGGGGTATTTCTCCTAATATCAAACCTAAATTGGGCCAAACAGATCCCTGTGGCACTCCACTGGAGAACTCTTTCCATGTTGCCATTGAACCAATTACTCTTTGAGTTCAGCCTTCCAACTCAATTTGAAGGCATCTGGTTATGTTATTGTCCAAATCATCTTCTCTACAAGAATAGTCTACAGGATATCTTACCAAAGGCATTGCTAAAATCTGGGTAAAGTCTAATTACAACATTTTATTCATCTACTAGTTTAGTAACTCTATCAAGAGAAGGAAATCAAGCATAAAACAGGAGCTAAATTAGCAGAGTGCTTTGTGATAGAGGGGATGATCAGCAGTGTCAAATGTAACAGAAGGATTGGGGGAGGGGAAGGAATCCAATAAATTTGGCTAGATGAATATCATTAGTGACCTTAGAGAAATTAATTTAGTGACATGTGGATAGAAACCAGATTATAGAGGCTCAAAGAATGAGTAAGTGGTAAAGACACAGAATAAATAAATAATGTTTCAATATGAAGTATTTTAAAGATGTCTTTTCTTCCTATTTTTCCATTTTCTGTACCTTTCTTATGTTTTGTTTCCCCTCCATTCCTTGTTAATTCCCCTCACAGAGACACAACCCTGAGGTTTAGGGGGTAGTTGAGAATTTCCTGTGTTGGATGCTCCCAAATTCCATTTTCCCTACCAGTCTATGATAAAACACTTTTACAAAATCGCAGAACAGTTATGGGAGAAAGCAAGAGGGTTAGTTATTGTATCCTTCCCTGGAGACATGGGAGAGAAGGTACTAAGTGTCCTTGCCACCCTCAGAGCTGCCCACGCCCCACTCACTGACAGACTGATGTTAAAACATTGCTTTGCTTCTGTTACTCCCTGCTTAAGAACCTGCCAAGGCTTCTCCTTCCTGCCCATTTGGATAAAGTATAGCCCTCCAAAATTTGGCCCATATTTATCTTTCTAAGTTTAACTTCCAGTGCTATCTCCATGAAGCCTTCACCTCCACCAGCCTTGACTGCCCATTCTAGCCTACACATGCCCTGCACTGTTGGCCCTCTCTATCTTTGTTCGGACCATTCCAACCATCCCCAGTTGAAAACATACACCGCCCTCAAGATCCAGATGAGATGGCCAGTTTCTGCCTTCTGCTGGGAAGGCTTCCATGCTTCCCCTAGCTGGAAACACTCTGCCTAGCCCCTGAATGCCTATTGAACTTACTGTCCCTGCCACTCATTAAACATGTATCTTCTCTTGCCTGATATTAATTATTTATTAGTGGGTACATACTTTACCTGCCCACATAAATTATAAACTCCTTAAAAATAATTCCATTCAGTAAACATGTATTAAGTACCTACTCTACAAGGCATTATGTTAGGCCTAGGAATACAAGTTCAAAAGTCAACCAGGTGGGGCAGCTCGGTGGCACAGTGGATAGAGCACTGGCCCAGGAGTCAGGAGGACCTGAGTTCAAGTGTGACCTCAGACACATGATACCCACTAGCTCTGTGACCAAGTCATTTGATCCTGATTGCCTCACCAAAAAAAAAAGAAAAGCCAACCAGGCCCTGTACCCAAAGAGCTTAGATTCTCCTATGCGCATAAGGACCTATCCTCTGTGTGTGTGTGTGTGTGTGTGTGTGTGTGTGTGTGTGTGTGTGTGTATACACATGTAGTAGGTTCTCTGCAAATATTGGTTGGTTGGTTGGTAGGTAGGGATTCTTTTTTTTTTTTTCCTGTTTGGAGTAAGCAAAGATTCTTCAAAGCTGTTTGAAGGGAATCAACTTTACATAGCATAGAAATGAGGACACATTTCATGATGGCAAGCAGAGACCCAGCAAGGATCTTAGGGAACAATGGGTGTCATATTTGTTTTTTCATGAGATTGAAAAGTGATCCTTAGTAAGGAGAAAAATAAAAACATTTATAATTTGCTTTTCTGTCCAGATGATTCCCAGGAAAATAATCACAGTCACAATGCTGACAGATATTTTTGTTTATTTTGTTTGCATAACTGATATTTTGTTTATACACCTGCCCATGGTATATGAGGACATATTACCTCTTAAAGTACCTTTTAAAGGAAGTGCCTTTTAAAGCCCCTAGATGATGTGGTACTTGGAAATTACTTGGGAAAAATCTGCGGAGTGGATTTTGTTTGAAGAAGTTTTTCAAAACCAAGTTTTGTTATCGTAATTCCACGTCCATGTTAAAATGGCAAAGTGTTGTAGCCATTTTGCAGAAGTCCATTTTATAAGACTTTTCTGTGCCCTGCTGCTTCTTCTATAATAATCCAGCCATTAAATAATAAGCAGCTTAAATCAGAGGCAGCAGCCAGCCAGTCAGTCAGTCACCTTGGTGGACCCAGACCATTAGCCCCTAGAGCCTGTAAGCTGTTTAATCAGTTCTCAACCTTAGTAGTAAAGTGGTAGAGGCAATCAACAGCTTATCCAACTCCCTGTGGCAGGGGAAAGGCAAGAGTCACAAGGCATCCTTGGGTCTGACAGCTTTTTCTAACCTGTTTCTTTGTGCCTATCTTTACGAGACCTCCAAACTTATCATATTTAGAGGAAGTTTAATTCAATTACTGCTTCTGCTAGCAGGGCGTTAAATTGGATTTAGCTTTTGATCTGTATGCATCCTATCAGTGCTGAAAGGTTTCTTCTACAACCCCCTTTATGAATAAATTTTAATCAGATTGTCTGTGTCTCTACAAAAGAAAAAAAAAGCATATGTTGAAAGAGAAAGACATTTTCTTTCCAAGAAAGAAAAGAGACTATCACATTGCTGGAAGGCTCATGGGTGCTAGAAAAGGACATCCTATAAATTGACTCTAACCCCAGAATGTGCTTTGCCATTTTAGCTCCTACCTACTGTTTTCATGGTTTGCTTGATAACACTATGAGCTTCTAAAAGAATACGATATAGGGAACATACACATTTCTACAGAGTTTTCTGTAAAGCAAATTTATATTATGTAAATTTTATTTTGTCCTTGACTTCCATTATAAAATCCAAGATACAAACCTCTAAGGGGAAAATTGGCCCTTGGATTTATTCAACAAACATTTATTTGCCTGGGGAAATACAATGTTCAGGTAAAATAGAAGCCTAACAATATAGTAGAAAGATAAGACAGTCAAGTCAAATCAACAGGCATTTATTAAGTGCCTACTATGTGCCAGGCTCTTTGCCAATATAAAGATACAAAGAAAGGTTTTTTAAAAAAAAACAACAGTCTAATGGGGGGGGAGAATATGCAAACAACTAGGTCCAAACAAGGGTATGTGTCTGTGTGTGTGTGTGTGTGTGTGTGTGTGTGTGTGTGTGTGTGTGTGTGATAAATTGGAGATAGAGGGAAGACACTGATATTAAGGGGAATTGCAAAAGACTTCTTGTAGAAGGTGAGGTTGTAGCTGAGTCTTGAAGGGAGCCAGGAAAGGGAAGAAACAGAGATAAGAAAGGAGAGAGTGCCAGTCACAGGGGCAGCCAGTGAAAATGCACAATGTAGGGAGATAGTCTTATCTGAGGACCAGCAAAGAGGCCAATGTCACTGGATTACTGAGCACGTAGGGGTCGGGGAGTAAAGTGCAAGAAGAAATAAAGACCTGAAAGAGTCAGGTTATGAAGGGCTTTGAACACCAATGAGAGGATTTTATATTTTGTCCTGGAAGTTATAGGGAGCCACCAGAATTTATTGAATGAGGGAATAAAAGGGTTTTGAAAAGCTGCTGTGCTGAGTGGTACAGTAAATCTTTTAGGGAGGTTAAAAGGATTGCTTTGCTTCAGATGAGGGCCCAGTTGTGTTGACTTCACATGCATTTGGAGTGGACACAATCATCAGGTTTTCATTATTTTCTTCAGCTTCATTCAGCAACATGTTAGGAATTAAGTTGGTGGGTGGTGCAGTGGATTGAGCTCTGGGCCTGGAGTCAGGAAGACTCATCTTCCTGAGTACAATTCAGCTTCAGACACTTACTAGCTGTGTGACCCTGGGCAAGTTCCTTAAGCCTGTTTGCCTCAGTTTCCTCATCTGTAAAATGAGCTGGAGAAGGAAATGACAAACCACTCCAGTATCTTTGCCAAGAAAACCCCAAAAGGGGTCACAGAGAAAAATAACTAACAAAAAGATGTTGGAATAATCTAAGGCCAAGACTTAACAAGGCAAGATCAACTATATGATGAGCTACAAATAGCATGCCCTTTGTAAATGAATGTAGTGAAATAATAACAGACAGTTAGATATAATACTTTAAGATTTGCAAAACACTTTACTTACATTGTCTCATTTGAGCCTCAAAGCAACCCTGTAAAATAGATATTTTAAATAGTATCATCCTTATTTTACAGATGAGGAACCTGAGCTTCTGAGAAATTAAGTGGCTCACCTTGTGGCCACGCAGCTAGCAAATATTAAAGGTGAAAATATGAAATTGCATTCCTAATATCTTAGGATAAAATATTTATAATGCACCGAACATTAATAACATGGGATTAGATGGAATATAAAAGCACAACATAAATACTAGGCCTGTAGTGAGGAAGATCTGAGTCCAAATCTGGCCCCTGACACTTACTAGC